AACTGAGACAGGAAAATAGCACCAGAAATTTTTCTAACAGGTTAGGAGAAGGTCAGATAAACAATGGATTTCTAGGAAAGATGTCAGCTGTTAGAAAGGCACGAACTGGCTGATTGTTCCCAAACAAATTTAGCCTGAAGCACAACCCCAACTCTGGAAATTCTAGTCTCAGCTGGTTCATTGTGACTTTCTTGGCCTTCAGACAGGCATTTTAAACATTAGAAGTATTTCTACAGCCTTAAGATGGACTGTGCCAACAGCTTGTTCATAATAAAGCAGTCAGCAGAAATGAAATAGCCAAGTCTTTCATAGTTACTGTTACTATGACTTACTGCCAGCCTTCCCACATTGCAAAGAAATCTGTTCTTCAGGCTTTTCTTCCTTAAATTCTCCATGGCTTCCTACCCTTTTCCCTATATCAATCACAGCAGGTCACTTATCACCAAAGTGAGTTGTAGTTGAACTTTACTTCTTTCACCCATCCTTGCCCATGCCTTTACCCTTCATGCCATCCCATCCCCAGACATGTCCCTTGCCCTGAAAGAGCAATGATCTGAACTTGGTGCCAAAAGCAAGGCATGTCTTGAGCCCCCTCTCTTTTACCTCAGAGGGACAACTCTGTGCTGGTGCTGGAAGATGTCAAGAGACAAGCTCCAGTGATGCTGTGAGCAGTTTGGCAGAGTGAGCTGTGCAGTTGCTGCAAACATCAACATCTGGATGAATGAAGCAGCCACTGAGATGAAGTCACCCCTAGAAAAGCCTTAGACAGTGAGGATTGAAAAATGAAAATGATAAGAGCAGAAGGCTTTATTTGACTTGACGTTTCACAGACCTTGAGATGATCCAGGACTGGGCTCACATGTATATTACAGCGACCTGAGGAGGTCTCCATGGTGAGAGAAGGACGAGAATCTTGTTTCTTGATCAGAAGCCTGGATTTATTGATATATGATATCTAATACATTATAACTATACTAAAAACAATAAGGAGAGAGGTTGCAGAGAGCTGCTAAGCTAAGAATAGAGTCGAAAGAATGAATAACAAAGTTCTGTGTCCAGGGAATCTGTCCCTGAGCTGTTCCTGTGATTGGCCCTTAATGGTACACATGGAAGATGAGCCAATCACAGGATCACCTGCTACATCTCACAGCAGCCGATAACAATTTGTTTACATTCTTCTTCTGGGGCCCTTTTTTCCCAGAAGATGCACAAATCCCAAAGAAAGGATTTCTGTGAAAAAATGTCTGCGACAACATGTACACGTAACGCTGCCCAGCAATGGCTTCAGCAGCTCAGCAAGCCCAAAGCTGTGGTTATGGGCCCTAACCACAGCATCCTGGTCATGGTAACTGGGGTTAAGCAGAGATCAGAGAAAGCTGGCTTGGTTTTAATGGCCAGCTTTCTGAACTGTTTTCATTGTTACTTCAATCTGAGTTAGCCAAACAGAGCTCACAGCATGTGCAATTTCTAAGCCCAGTGCAGGGAGGAAATGAGTCAAGGGGCTGCTTTGCACAGGTTGTGGTTCCAGCACTGGTCCAAAATGCCTCCTGAAGATTCCATTAAACCTCTGTGACATTAAAGCTCTATCTGAGCTCTGGGAAGGTGCCTGCTCATTTGGAAAATGACTGGCAGCAGTTGCCTTGACTCACATTCTCTTGTGAAACTGTCAGAAAAACATGGCTTACGCCTCCGATACCATAGGCTGTTGATTTCTCTCAGCTGCTGGTGTTGNCAAGGGGGACATCAGTACCCGCCTTCGCGCCGCCCTTTGTCATCGACGGCCGCATCCCCTCCCAAGTCACGGGTGTTCCCTGCCCCGGGCTGCCCGCTCGCTGGTAACGATATAATAAATACGTTTGTAACGCTATAATAAATACTCTCATAAAGCGCGGTGCGGTGACCGGGGCTTGGCACCGGGGACGCAAATCGTTCTGGGAGCCGCTTCCCGGGTCCTCCGCGCGCCTGGGGAGCCGGGAGTGCGCCGGTTCAGCCAAAGTGCGAACTTGCTTGGATGTAAAGATCCACTTTTTACAATCGACTCCTTGCAGACGCCCTTCGGCCTCCTCAGAGTGTTCAGCGTCGTGATCCCTTTCCTGTATGTTGGCACTCAGATCAGTAAGAACTTTGCAGCCTTACTTGAAGAACATGATATCTTTGTCCCAGAGGATGACGATGACGATGATTAAAGGGTATGTCATTAACTACACCAGCAATCTAATTATTTGTGCTTCCCGTTTGGCTTGGGGCAGGGAGGAGAATCTCAGACTAGGAACAGCAGCAACAGCTTAAAAGATGTACTTGCAGTTAAACACATGGACACAGATATAGCCTTTGGCTATGAACTTTTTTGTTTCGTACCAGAGTAGGCCAGACTGGTGTCTGTGCAATCTCCATGCCAGGCATTTCTTAGAGACTGGGAAAAGTGATGGTGTTTTAGATCTTGCTAGCTGAATCAGAAATAAAATGTAGTCAATGAGGGTCTGTACTGCAGACAACAGAGAGACTTCAGTGTTCCTACATTACATACACACCCAAAGAATGACAGCAGAGCTGCTCAGGAGTCTGAAGCACACCTGCTATGAGGAGTGGCTGAGGGAGCTGGGGCTGTTTAGCCTGGTGAAAAGAAGGCTCAGGGGAGAGCTTATCACTCTCTACAACTACCTGAAAGGAGGCTGCAGCCAGGAAGGGTTCAATCTCTCCCCAGTTAACAAGCAACAGGACAAAAGGAAATAGCACCAGGTTTTACTAGGGAACGTTTAGATTGGATATTAGGAAACACTTCTTCAGGGAAAGGGTTGTCCAGCATTGGAGCAGGCTGCCCAGGGAAGTAAGTGCTGGAGTCACATGCCCTGGAGGTATTTAGAGGAGGTGTAGACGAGGCATTTAAGGACATACTTTAGCAGTGGACTTGGCAGTACTGGGTTAGCAACTGGGACTCAATGAACTTGAAGGTCTTTTCCAACCTAAACGATTCCATGATTTTGTTCTACTTGTTTACCTGTTTAAAAGTCTTCTCCTAGCTCACAGAATGACTCTTAAAACAGAATCATGTACTGTCTGAAATTCTGATATAGGTGAACAATTTAAGAGCATTCCAGAACCCATCAGAACAAACTGTCTGCTGGGTGTTACAACACTGGAGTAGTTGGACCATTCAGACTCATTGCAGAAAGGAAGAATGGAAATAATTCACATTTATCTGCACTGTGCTACACTTTCTACCATTTTCCATTATTCTGTTTAGCTTGCTCTTGTGTGAAGATTTGAGTTTGGGTGTATTTCTTTATAGAACAAAGAAGCTGTTTTAGAGAAGTTGTTGTAAATCATGTAGATTTACAGTCAGTTTGGTGGATGTATTCCAGTTGATAAAGGGGCTTTCCAGCATGCACTGTGCAGCTAAAAGCTAAGACTTAAAAGATTGCAAAGACTGCACTGGCCTGTTGTTAACTTCCTTTATGTAAACCCCATCTTGTGTAGTTTTGGGAGGAGGATGCAGACTGCAGCTCAGTAGTGTACCTGTAACACCTTGTTTTTCTATTTGCAGCACTGAAACAGAAGAACAGAAAGGAGAGAGCCATTGACAAAACAATGGTTCCAACATCTGTCACCTGTGTTTTGCCCTTCCCAAAGGGGACAGGGGGCTTTGTATCCCCTTTTGCCAGTGAGTGTTCTGCACATCTCTGTATGCTGGAAATCTGTAATCAGGGTTGAAGAAATGCTTGATAGGCCCTGCGTCCTTGCACACACATGCTCACCTCATCAAAGACTGCTTGGGATGCCTTTAATTAGCAACATGGGAAACACTTAATTAAAGACCCAGAGATTGACATGTGCAACTTTGGTCCTGTGTTTTGATACATTATTTCCCTATGTCCTAGCACTTCTGCCTTAACCTTTCTATCTCTGGATGTCGGTTCCAATAGCGAGGCTCTCTTCATGCTTATTTTCTCTTTTGAGTCCTTTCAGTAACTCACTACTCATCTACAGGACATGTGGAATCCTAGGGGAAGCAGCAGCCCCACAACACAGCCCTGTTAAAGAATGGAGTGCACACTGACAATGGCACTGTTCAACAACCTAGCAGCTGTATCTGATGGGGACTGTATCATGAACTTCACCTCACTGAAGATGAAAGACAGTATTATCATCACAGAGTTAAAACTCTGAGTGGCTTTGGTAAAAGGTTGAGATCACAAGTTGCAAATGAACTTGTTCATGTGTTTTATAGCATTTCATCTCTGAATGCTGGCTCCAGGTATCCAATATTTCCCAGGTAGTTCAGTACTTCCTTCTGAAAGAGCCCTAAGGTATTTGTTTTCTTCACTTCAACTACTCTTTTCATAAAAGTGTTTGCTATTGCACTTAAATCCTTGCATCATAGACTTAAAAGGTCTTCTTTGCTGTTATGGCACAGGAAGAGTATCTTTAGTCACAGCAGACCAGCTGTTCTCTCAAAATGATACCTTGAGAGGTTGGTCAATTATTTATTTTTCATAAGCCAGCACTGCCCCAGTGTCTCATGGTTTCTGGTCACTAGATCTGGCCTCTTGATTGCCACTTCTTCCTTCCTTATTGGTGTTGCTGTTGAACTGGGAGCAGTGTATAGTTCCAACACCACATTTGTTCCCTTACTTCTTTGGCACAGCTTTTAATGTTTGCTCAATAACTCTCCAGCATGGCTACTAGAGAAAAGGGAGCCTGTAATCTGAGTAACCCCGAGAGCTGCAGCTAAAGGCAGCTGTCAGGTTCTTGAGTCACTTGGTATCTGAGTTGCCCCCTCCATGCCCAAAGCCACCTGAGAGGCAATTGTTCCAGTTTATCTGCTCTTGGGAGCCAAACATGTACCTGCTTCTGTTTTAGATGCTGCCAAAATCCTTTTCACTGCTTTGTCCCTCCTGGGCCCCTCCTGGCTTTGTCAACCCTGGAGGCCCAAGGTAGCTATGTACACGTCCCTGAGGAGTGCTGTGTTACAGTCCTCATGGGGAAGAAAGCCCCAGGACTTACAGGATAAAAAGATGTTTATTTAGGCTGGAAAAAAAGAATTTTGAGTTTACTGCAAACATCCAGTGCTGGGCACATCTGGAAGAGCACCCAGTTACTTGCTGAAAACCTGTTCTCTGCTGAGAGAATAAATTCTCCTTATCCCTCTCAAAAGGGAACTAGTAATTCCTGATTCAGTGGATGAGGTAATGGTGGGACACCTTCTCCTGCTAGGCTTCAGAAGCTGTTACAGAGCCTTCCTTTTCTGGAAAACAGAACAAATCCCCTTTTTCCAGGTAGTTTCATTTTACAGCAGAGAAATGGACTCTGCTGATGTTTTATTACACAAGGATTTATTTGCCTACCATTAGGATATTTTCTCTGGGAGAAATGAAGGAGACTAATGTCCAATATAAAACACAAGGTCAACAAAGTCATAGGATGAAATTGCAAGACACTGCACGAATACACTGCAATATCCCTAACATACCCCTCAAGCACAAGAACATTTCTGCCCTTTTGCTCACAGAGCTAACATCTACAGATGGGGCTGCAGGCCAAGCACAAAGACCAGCAGCCAGGCTGTGTTGTGGTTATTCAGCAGACACCCCAGGGCAAGTGATGGGATAAATGCCATCCACTGAAAATACATACTGGCAAAACTAGGACATGACAGCTCTTCAAACAGATCATAATCATTTGCACATGCTATGGATTTGCCTAGTCATTAGGCTCCTAAGATGCTAGAGAATCTCTTGGTATGGATTTTTTTTTCTATTGTATAGAACTTTATTTGTAATATAAGGCAGGAAGACACAGAGTCAGTTCCTCAAGGATTGTGGCCCGCATAGAATTTGGACAGAAAGTCTTTAGGTTGTGGGGTTTCCGTCTCGTGGAAGTACCTCATGACATGAGTCCTCTGCTTCCAGACATGAATGGTTTCTTGAAGCTCCATTTTTCCCTGCACACACACAAAAGAATTTTAGACTAGTTGGCAGTTAGAGCCCAAGTCTAACCACACAGTACTGAGAAAGTTATTTGAGTGAACTTAAAAACACCTACAAAAATAATAGCTGCATCAACAGTTCTGTACTCCTACAGCCTGCATGCATCACCTGCACTGTGACACAAATATACTGTTCCTGCCTTGGGACTTCCATGGATTTCTCTGCAGCACAGCTTCCCAGCCCTGTGACACAGGCAAGAGACTCTGTCCCCTTCTTAAAACCTGCTTTGTTTCTTTCCTGACCCACACCTCCCATAAAATTGTACACAATATTCCTAACTTTCGAGCACCTCTACTGAATTTGGGTGAACAGCAACACTTCAGCTGTAAAATTAACTGCTGCCAAGTGCTTTGCACCAGTATCACTGCCACTGAGACATGCAAATTCTTCACAATTCCATTCTTTTGTACTCGTTTTATAGGATGGTAGCACAGCAAAATGAGACTGCCTGGAACTGTCACCGAGCATACTATCTAAGACTTTGTTTCCAGATTTTTTCATCATGTAAAGTCAGAGTAATTGTCTTGAAATGCAAGAAACAAAACAGATGAGCATGACAGTCATTGTTTGGAAGCTTTCTAATGCATTAGAATTGCACAGGTGAGTTACTGTTGCTCAGACACGTTTTGAAGCCTGAGGTGCTGATTATTGCTTTGAAGCATCTGTATCACACCATGAGATGTGTTACAGGCCTGGAGTGTTCTGCCACCCAAAACCAGCTTCCCACCAAGTACTGACATTGTAATATATGTTTCAGAATCAGTGAAGAAAACTATTTTCCGATCCAATGAAGTACTGTAGAGGGAAGAAAGTTCATTCTTAATAGTAAACTAGTGAGCAGCACCTATTTTTCCCTTTGATTGTTGTTGTTAAAAAAAGGGTGAGCAAGCAAGCAACACAAAAAAGGAACAAGCTTAGTGTTAATTGTTGCTTTGCTTGACATACACTTGCTGAATTCTAAAGCCACCTGATCCCTTATCAACAGGTTTGCTGACACAGATATTACCAATCCAACTGCAAGAGACAACCACTCCATAGACAGGCTGGTACAAAGTTGTTCCTCTCCTCCATCACACTCACCACCATCAGTCACATTCTCTGCAGCTTCAACAAATCAGAAGTAACAGTGTGTACCTTAATAACCAGCATGTCTATCACGCGTGGATCCGTAACATGGGCGTTCTTCATGAACATCTCCCGCACCTTGTTCCGCCCCTGTTTCACCGTGATGTCCAGCTGGTACAGGTGCACTAAGAGAAACACAACACCTACTGCGGTCACCCACGTCGTTCTGCACTTGTTCCACCAGCAACGCGCAACTCAACCCTAAAAATCGCTACACTCGTCCGGCTTCACCAATGTCATTAAGGCCGTTCCGACCTTGAGCCCGCGCGGCAGGCCCCGCGTGCCTCACCCACCCGTGTTGGGCACCTCGCNACTTTTGCATCTTATTTGAAGCAGAGGTAAAGCAGGCCCCATTTCCAATGGCATTTGGTGCCTCCCCTACACTCTGAAGCACCTGAACTTTTGCAATTTGTAGCCTTACAGAGGCTGTAGCGTGCAAATGCCAATTTCACGGTTACACAGTGGAAACAGCCTCTGCTTCTTAGATCCTCCTGGACTTGTTTTAGAGCGGCTGAGAAAAAGCTGACTGACAGACTTCAAAGCCTAACTTTTGCAGGGACCAGGGAAAATTGCAAAGCTTTCCTGTTTCACATGTCAAGGTTCTAAATCAGAGGAGATACCACACGGCTACGAAAAAATCCCAGGCTTAAATTCTGCCACTGCTGCCAGGGCAGCTGCTGGTCACAGTGAAACTGGCCTGAATGCCAGTGGCATCTGAGTAGCTTCAGAGATTAGAATTTACCTACTAGCATCTCAGGAAAGCCAGTAAGCTGGTGTTCAGTGCCTCCAGAGAGTCTGTTAGGCTGCTTCTGACAGGCAGTGAATATCACAGCTCATTGAGAGGAAAGGAACCCTTTGCACTGAGCTGCCACTGCAGTTGTGTTCCCATACAACAAGTGCGAGCCTAGAACACAGATGTGACCGTCTGCCTGAATTTAGCATTGCAAAATGTCCTATTTTAGTGCTCAGCAGTGACTGTAATTGGGGCTGGATGTGCAATGCTGCAGGGTTGGATGGGATCATCCCCACCCCGTGCATGGCAGCTGCAAAAGGAGAGGTTGCTGTGTTGCTTGTGTGGTCACGGTCACCTTGGGAATAAAGAAGCCTTGCAACTCGGTGTCCCGGTATGTCATGTGAGGTACCCCAACAGGAACAATATCCCCACAGCGTTGCACTTCATGGATCACAGCATTAGTGTAAGGCATGCTTGCTTGGTCCATCATGCTGGGCGGCCTCTCTCTGCCAATCACTCTATCAATCTCTGCCTGGACCTTACCTGAAAGCAGAAGAGATAAAGAATTAGAGGACCCTTAGAGAACCAGAGGCAGCTGGTACAAGCCAATGACTCTATCAATCTCTGCCTGGACCTTACCTGAAAGCAGAAGAGATAAAGAATTAGAGGACCCTTAGAGAACCAGAGGCAGCTGGTACAAGCTGAAGGAAGAGTGGCTGCAGGAGATTGTAAGCACTGTGTGAGAACAGGACAAGCAGTTAGAGACAGGAAGGTTCTTTGCTCATAGCACCCTTATTAAAGCCTTGCCACTTGATATGCTACCTTACCCCTCCTCTATGCAGCCTGGACAAGCAGCATTAGAGAATTTAAACCAATCAGCATCTATTCCAAATACTGGAAGAGCCTACACTGAGCTCAGCCAGTCCCCAGATGAAAGCCCTCCAAATGAAGGCGAGAGCGAACTTGCCATTCAAACTCCAGTCTTTTTATCATGGCTACCCCCTGCCAGAACTGCTGTTTGGGAAATGTTTCTCCTCTGTTTCTGCTAGATAACAATCACCAAAGCTGTCCCTCATTGTGTAATGCTTGTGAAAAAATAAGTTTTTAAAGGAAGAGGCTACACTTCCATAAATAAGTTTCAGACTTACTCGGTATTTCTGGATGGAGAAGCATGTACAGNGGCCGCCTGGGGCCGTGACTTCGGCCCTGCACGGCTGCCCCGCAATGCCAGAGTTGGCGCTGAAGCGGTGTTCCGTGGGATTCTGCACTGTGCCGGCAGGACAATGGAGGTCCATTTTTGTCTTAGGGTTGTTGGTGCTTGACCCGCGCATTGGGAGCCATTTGTTGCAGTTTGTTTAGGGGGGATCCCCGGAGAGGCCCTGGACCCCTAAGCTGTAAGTTCGCTGGTAGCAGCAGGCAGGCAAGGAGACTCCACACGGCTGCTGAAGGTGCTAATTAGATGAGGCTTTATTGGGGGTCCCACCCCCAGGAGCAGCATGGTTTCTGAGGGAGAAGGGGGGAAGGGGAAGGGGAAGGAAGGGGGAGAGAGGGAGAGCCTAGGGGAAAAAGGGGCCAAGAGAGAGAGAGCAAAGGGCCAAGAGAAAGCCTGTGGTCTCCCCCCACAGCTTAACAGGGAGATTCAGAGTGGGTGCGGAATAAGACTTGGGCCAATGGGATTACAGATACATGATACTTCTGAGGAGGATCACAGGCTTGGAATAAACCGTACATTTTTGAGGCGTGAAACAGAGCATACCATTTAACTAAAATGTACCGCCACACAGGTGTACTGCACTCCCCTCCAGGTGAAGGCAAACTGAGGCCTGCTTTCTGCTGCCAGAGGAATGGAGAAAAAGGCGTTTGCAATATTGATGGTCGCGTACCACTTTGCTTCCTTGGACTCCAGTTCCTAGCTCCAACATGTCTGGCACGGCAGTGCTCAGTGGTGGTGTGACCTCATTCAGGCCATGGTAATCCACCACCAGTCTCCATTCTCCACTGGACTTATGCACTGGCCATATAAGGCTGTGGAAAGGTGAACAAGCCTTGCTGACCACCCCTTGGCTCTCCAGTTTACAAATCATCTCACGGACGGGAATCACAGTCTCTGTTGGTATGATATTGCCAACAGTGTACTGTGGCTGTGGCAATTGGTACCTGTTGTTCTTCAGCTCTCAGCAATCCCACAGCAGAGGGGTCGTCTGAGAGACCAGGCAAGGCATTCAGTTTTCTGATGTCTTCTGTCTCTACAGCAGCTATCCCGGAAGCCTAACAATGTCCTTTTGTGTCTTTGAAATAGCCATTTCTGAGATAGTCTATGCTGAGGGTGCATGGGGCCTCTGGGCCAGTCATGATGGGGTATTTCTGCCACCCATTCTCAGTCAAATTCACTTCGGCCTCCAATACAGTCAGCTGCTGGGATCCTCCTGTTACTCCAGAAATAAAAATGGATTCTGCTCCTACATACCTTGATGGCATCAGGGTACCTTGGGTACTGGTGTCAACCAAAGCCATATATTTTTGTGGGTCAAATGTGCCAGGCCATCAGATCCACACAGTCCAATAGATCCAATTATCCCTGGTTAGAGGCAGGGCCCCTCTATTCCTGGTGGTGGCACACGTTGCTCTCTTCCTGTAAATAGGTTCCTGAGGTTCCTTCAAGAGGATCAGTGATATCATCGTTCCTATTTTGTCTGGAATTCTGTGTGCAAGAGACTGCAGCAGCGTTGACTCTAGATGAGCTTCTTGTGTTAGGTGTTCCTCTTTTCAGTTCACGTACCCGGGCGGCTAAGGAGGAGGTGGGTTTTCTATCCCACTTCCTCGTGTCTTCTCCATGCTCCTGAAAAGAAACCAGAGTTTACCTGGTGGAGTGTATCCTCTCTCCTTGGGTGGGGACACCAGCTCCTAATGGCAGAGACTCTTGTTGGCTCTGGCAAGATGTGGTAGACTTCTTCCTTAAGTTCCTTTTTTAGTTTCCTCTTCAATCAAACTCTGGACTTGCTCAGCCAGCCTTGTTTCCATGGACGAGACATGGGTAGGATATGGGGTGGTGACAGTGTCCTCATAAATTGTTGGTTTATTGCCCAAGACGCCACCCTGTCTTTGCCTTCCCTCCATTGTAGTGCTTCCAGGTAACAGGAGTATATATCTGGTGCCAGCCACGCAAATCTCAACCACATCTGCGATGTGCACTGGACACAATCTGGGCTTTTAGGAAATCTTTCATCTTCTGAGAAAATTATCTCCAGCACAAACAATTCCCCCAGGCATCAGATACCTTGTTCCGTTGTGCTCCATTTTCCTTGGTGCACCTGGAGGTCTTCTTTACAAAGGTATCTGTCTCTCACACCTGTCAGCAGTCGCCGCCAGAGGCTGCGTTTCTTGGGTTCTCCCAATCCCCTGGTCAGTGACCACATCTTGGGACAGCAATCCCAGTTGCCAGGCCTCACTTCCATCCAGAATGGTGTCATTGGCTGCAGCATCCCAGATGCAGAGCAGCCAGGTCAGGATGGACTCGTTTGTCTGGCGAGTCAATTCCCTCCACAGGTCACGCAGCTCACCCAGGGATAGAGAGCGAGTGATGATTTCTGGGTCTGTCTGTTCCACTGGGTGCAAAGGTCCTGCCACATCCTTGCCAGTCACTAAGCAGACTGATTTGCTCTTTGATTTCTTCTTTTGAACAGGGGCAACTGCTACTGGTTCAGGCTGTTCTGGTTCGGTGACGGTCTGTATGGAGATGCTGATGGCACTTTAGGTTTCTTCCTCCTCTGTGAGAGCCTGCATAGACACAGATGGTGTTGTTTTGGTTTTGGTTCCTTTCTCTGCCACAGTCTGCATAGACATAGATGCTGTTTCGCCTTCGGTCCTTTCCTCCTCTGTGGAATTCTGTGTGGACATGGACGCCGTTGCTTTGCTTCTCTTTTCCTCAAGAAGACGCTGCACTACACCATGTAGTGCTTTGTTTCTAAGCGTGTTGCAGGCTGTGCAGAGAAGACAAAGCAGAACTAACAACAGTATTTGTCCTTGGCATCCAGAGAGAACTCAGCATTTTCAAAAACTGTTGTGTCAAGCCTAAAAGGCTGGAAAAAATAATTCTTTACCCCTCCCCCGAAAGGTTGGGTGCAACTGTTAAGGCCCCAGATGTATCAGCCTAGATTAGGACAAGCAAACAAAATTGAGTGCATATTCTAAATTATGTTCATAGCCTCGGAGGTTATCATGCAATAGACATAATAAAACAATAAAGCAATTATTATAGCATACCTTGGCCTACACAGGAGCATTACAATCGGGAGATAATTCCCTATGTGCAGAAAAATATAGAGAGCTAGGTATAAGACCCACATAAGCATACTGAGGATCATAGAGAATAGGTGGCTTCTACAACACAGAATTGTAACTCTTACTGTTAGCGTTCCAAAACACATAATCACGGGGACTATATGCGGTGGTTTTTATTAAGAGCTCTGGGAATCGGGGTATATTCAACCCAAATCTGATTCCAGCCATACATCCGAAATGATCATGTTTTATACTCTACCGTTACATAACTTTCATGTTAATTATTAAACTTATATTGTTCTATTGTATACATAAATTTAGCCCCTCTCTGNAGATAAATAAGCATAGTAAAAAGAGCAATCCTCCAAGTCTACACATAGTGAGAAAAACCACCCTTTCCCATACCTATTTTCTGAAAATCTCTAAGTTCTCCCACCCACTGGGATCAAATGTAGGAGTTTGATCTTGATTATTTACACATGCCAATCTTATTTCGTTTGAAATGTCCCTAATAATTGAATTCTTTATTTTTAATACTGCCTGGAGCCGGGAATTGGGGAGGTTAAGGGCAGCCAAGGACTCTGTGAAAGAAAAACCTTTTTGGGGTACCCTTCACCTTCGAGCAGTTTGCTTCTAGTTAACTATCCAAAATAAGGAAAAAAGGCATATGGGTTGCAGAGAAGGATATTATCCTGCTCTTGGAGTAACAGGGGAAGGAGATCATAAAGTAGAATTTTCAATTCAATGAAATATACAAGACTGTTAAAACTGGTATTACAAAATTACTTTAGCTTTGGGTTTTGGTTACTAAGCTTCTTCTACAATTCCAGCTCTTACCTTGTGGGATTTGGAAGGGGGGAGGGTGGGAACTAGGAGTTGGAGAGGGGGTGGATCATGAGAGACAGGGAAGGGGCGGAGCATAGGGGAGAAAAAGCAGGAAGAAAGGGATTTTTGGGGAGGAGTAGAAGATGGTGCCATGGCTGGAGCAATCTTGGCTGACACGTGGTCACGGCTATGTTGGATCTTTAGGCCATGCGGCCACATCACACACGGCGGTACCCATGTTGAGGCTTAGCCGTGTGGCTGCTGTGCCGGGCTCAGCAGGACGGAGTGGACTCCCAGGGGTTTGTTATGGGGAAGGTGGGTTAGGGATGGAGTTAGGGGAAGGAGCACTGAGGGGCGAGAGACTAAGACCGAGGAAGGAGGTCACAGAACTGACGGAAGCAGTTTTGGGGGATGCGGGGCTCGGGCAAAGCTGAAAACTGCTGCTTGCTTGTCTGGTGGCTCTCTCACGGAAACTGGTGGGCTTTGGTTCGTTCTTTCGCTGCTGCTGTGGACCAGGGCATCGGCTGTTTGGGCTCAGCAATCTGCGCTCTGCGGGGCCCTCCTCCACCGCCTCCGGGCAG